ACATCTAGATGCTTAATCTGTTTAAAAAAAATATTTTGTTTTGCTCCAAACGGTGAGCACTACTGTTGTTATTTTATTTTTTTTTTACAAAAAGTATGTTTATTTTAATCACTTTATATTATCGAAACGTTTGTGTTCTGTTTTTTCTCAGACATGTAATTACTACATGTATGCTACAGTAACAATTATCAAACATAATATGTTTTAGATTGTCTCAACCTAATGCATAATCTCGATAAGATTGTTTGTTGCTAAGCGCAAAGCTACACAGTGGAATATATGTGCTGTGCCCACGGTGAGTATCGAAACCAGTTTTTTAGCGATATAAGCCTTCAGATTTAAGAATGTGCTACTAAGGGGGGTTTCATAAAATGAGGTGGTATCCCTGTTATAATCAACAGCTCTTACATCTAGTTTACTGGGATTTGTTTTTAAGATATTATATATATATATATATTGTGTTTTTTGTTGTTGCTTTAGAATTGTTGCAAAGCTACACAAAGAGCTGTCTTTGTATAACCGTCCATAATTTTGAACTGATGACAGCTATTCAACAGCACTTACTGCAAAGACTTCCGAATTTTATTTCTTTGTTTTGAAATTTTCGTACAAAGCAATACAGGAGTTATTTGCTTATACCAGCTCTTAATGTTGAACTGACAGACTAGAGGAAAGACAGTGTGGTATTCTGATTTATTCAGAAGTAAAGCATCACAAATAACAATAGGTTCGAACAGAAGATACTTACACAGTTTATGCTGCAAATCTGACTCGACTGAATTGTTGAGAAAAGGCTTAACAATGTACTGAACACGATAAAATCAAGATTTATTTATAACAACAGGACGAAAATATACAGCGCTCCTAAATAGCTTATAGATATTTGCGAACAGAATTCTGTAGAATGTTTTTTTGGGGGGCTAAAAAAATGTCATTATATACAGAAAAACAAAAACGTCATCCTTCTGAGAGCGCAGGTGCTTCTCAAGTCATTGGTTGTCTTAAATGAATATATGGGACGTTTAATCTCCAGATGTTTCTAAATTTAAACATGGCGATGTTACTCGAGGGCCAAAAAGAAATCTCCCTTAACACTACCCGTGAGAAACGCCTAAAATACCTTCATGGGACACTCCTTTGACGATCGAAACTAGCCAATCAAATAAAGTCAGTATTTTACAAGGCGTATTCCTATATGTAGAAATATGCAAGTTCTCGATAACCGAGTATATATCTGATTTTTTTAATATATTGTTACGTCTCTGTGTTAGTTTGTTAATTTTCCGTAGAAATTCTTTCCGAAAACTTCAGCAATACAAGTCCTTTCTTAAAAAAAACTAGTTTATTATTTCTCAATACAACTTTGCAATACACTTAATTTCCACAGTCACTTTAACTTTAACAAACGCTATAATTCACAACGAACGCTTCACGCACTTTACCTACTACCGCGCTTGACTCAATTGTCCGTTTCTATCTCTGTCTGCAATTCAATTGTTGCCGTCA